CTCCGCTTGGCACCACGGGGAGAGTGGCGGGGTGATGACTCGCCTATTACGAGAGCGCTACGTTACCGCCACGTGCCGCTGGCGAGGTAGGGGTCCTCCGTTGCGCAACATGTCACACTATTATTGTACCAGTTCGCAAGGAATGTTTATGAAACTGACTGTAGTAATTATTGTGGAATATCACTACTCTCTACTTCATACAAAATTTTATCCAATATCCTTCCCTCAAAGTTAATTCTATATATAGACGAAATTATTTGGGATCATCAGTGCGGGTTTCAACATAACAGATCAACTACTGATCAGATATTTTGCATTCATCAGATACTGGAGAAAAAATGGGAGTACAATAAGACAGTACATCAGCTATTCACAGACTTCAAGGAAGCCTATTTTTCAGTTAGAGAGGAGGTATTGTACAATACTGTGACACAACGCCTGAAAGTCGGAATAGTTCATTGCTAGGCAACGGCTCGGTAAACACATTTTTGCAGAAGCGAACATGCCAAACAGTAAAAGAGCAATGTTTTCTGTGGTTCACACCATGTGCATTGCAATGCAGTTGTGTGGTAAACACATCTCTGCAGCAGTGCTGCCTTATATAGATTTGGCCGGACCTAGAGAAAACATGTGCCATGTGCCAGAATGTGTTGCTCACAGCACATACAAAACGTTGCTTCCTCTATTGTTGCAAAGGCAGGGTTACCACGTGGTTGCCTAGCAATTTAAGTCCTGTTGTTGAATTGAATTGAATTGAATTTATTTACATTCTATAAATCCTAAGTAGGTTAGTACCTTTGGATACAGAACAAGTCAAAAGGTTACATACATAAGTACAGGCAATTTTAGCTTAAAAATTAATATAACTTAATTTTACATCATTCTCTATTTACATTGAAGTATTCATCTAAAGAGTAGAAGGAATGAGCATGTACATAATTCTTCAACTCTGATTTAAACTTTCTAGTATCATTGCCCAAGTTTTTAATACTTTGTGGCAGATTGTTGAACACTTTTATGCCAGTAAAGTAGACTCCTTTTTGATATACTGATAAAGTTGATGAGGGTAGGTGGAAGTTATATTTTTGTCTAGTATTCATGTTATAGACATCAGAATTTAATTTGAATTTATGTATGTGTGTCATGGGAGTGTGTTTAGTGACCCATTGCCTAGCAATGGATATACAGGTTGTAGTATGATGTGGAAATAACTCAGTACAAATTGTTTCACTTCTTCCAGGGCAAGACAAGTGTGAAAAAGAACAGTTATGCTCCTGTGTGGAATGAACAGCTAGTTTTTACAGAAATGTTCCCTCCACTTTGTCAGCGTATAAAGCTGCAGCTCCGTGACAATAACCCTGTCAATAACACTGTCATTGGGACCCATTTCATTGACCTGAAGAATATTTCCAATGATGGAGAGAAGGGTGAGCCTCCTCAGGTAGTTCCGACATGCAGGACTGTAGCAATATTATGCTTCATGCTTAAGCATGTTGACCAGAGGGTGAATGAATTCTTGTTAAACGTATGAATGCTTCATTACTTTTTGTTACTTTGAAAGATAATGTTAAATATAAATCATAAGAAAATAAAGACTGAAAAATTATGTAAGACAAAATAACTACCTTTTGTCACGTAATTCATCCACTCTCCCTCTTTTGCACTAACAGGTCTGGTTGCACGATTCAATAAAGGATTTATTAAAATGGTCTGAAAAATATCACTCTCCTCTTAATCTGAACATGGTAGAACAAAAATATATACATCAAGCTGGCCAAGTAATCAAAGAAAATGTTCCTATGTTTCCTTCCTGAGGCTGGAAAAATGAAATGTGTGCAACAAAATAGAGAATGGGTTCTGTATTTTTAGTTACTATAGGATTCTGACAATGGTGTATAACACACAGAGATACAGAGTTTTCGGACTTTATCCTTCGTCCTAGTTTTTAAGGTAACTAAGAAAATCACGACGTTTCGGAAACTGGATCTGTTTCCATCCTCAGGTGAGGGAAAACACCTATTCTGTTGGGTCCCTCACCTGAGGACGGAAACAAATCCAGTTTCCGAAACATCGTGTTTTTCTTAGTTATCCTAAAAACCAGGACGATGGATAAAGTCTGAAAACCCAATATCTCTGCAGTTCTGTATTCGTTTAACTGATGAAATAAGACAACTTCCTTTATGATTGTAAACTCTTTAGTTATTTATTAATTCACTACATATGTCATGCCCATCATATTTCTGTGCTTTGTATGTTGTCTCATTCAAAGGATGCTCATCCATGACTGAAAGATCATTTCAGAGATCACATGACTGAACAATTTATGCTGAACCATGCTTAATGTGATGTCATTCTAACACTATGTTGCCCTGCATTGGCTGTCATACTGGCTGCCATTCATCATTTTATCATTTAGAGACATACTTACTTGTCTAAAATGTCATCTTTTGCATATAAATATTAAGTGCATGAAACATAACAATTTACACTTTTTTAATTTCAGAGTTAAAAACGAAATTGCATTCATTATAGGAAGAAACATGATAAATCCACTTATTGTATCAATGAGACCAAGTAGGGTAGCAAAGAAAAAAATCCCCAGGAAATGATCACTGGTCATCCATCCTGTAGACAGTCACATCAGTCACTGAGTTATCTCAGCTCATGAGAGACAGTACATAAAATGCATTTCAATCAGACAGTCCAATAACGTCAGGATGCAGCGAATTGAATGTCTTGGAAAAGTATTAAGTTGCATAAGAGAGTCGTCATGAAAGCAGCTTCATGTATTCTTATGTAAAAATTAAAATACTAACTTATTTTAAGAGAAACATGGCAGAAATTAATTATTGATTTATTACATGTGCACAGGATTTCTGCCAACATTTGGCCCCACATTTATCCACCTATATGGATCAACAAGGGACTACAGTCTTATCGATGAGCATTCAAACCTCAATACAGGTTTGGGAGAGGGAGTATCTTATAGAGCCCGTCTTCTTGTGGCCATTCGCACTGAAATCACAGACAACATTGACTTTGCACCATCAGAGGTAGAAGTGGAGCCTACATTCCCAATCAATGAGGTAAGACTAACCTTTCTTCACTGATTTTATGTAATTATTCTCTAAAACTATATGATGTGGTTGAATGATTACACTGCAATTAGTAATTGCCCATTGTTCAAGTTTCATTTAACACATCTTCATATAACAGACTGAAAGTCGACTGTTAGTGGCAGTGCTCAGGATCAATTATGGAACCCACTGGTTACTAATCTTGTGTGCTAACTACTGAATCATAAGGGTACTTACAGTGCTCATATTCAAAGCATTATAAGTTCATGCCCATCTGTGTCACTAATATCAAGCTGCATTATGCCAGATCTCACCAAAAAATTTGATACTCAGTCAACTGATAAATTGCTACCAGCTACTGTGGAAAAAATATCTCAGTGGTCTGTTTATAAATGCCTCAAATTTGACTTAATATAAGAAATAACGGTAATCTCAGGGTGATAATTATCAATCACCTGAATACTGGAATAGAGTATGCCCCCAAAACATCATTTAGAAATGCTTCTCAAGTTATGCAATAGTTGTGTTCCAAAAATAAAGTCAAAGATGATGAAATCGCATGAAGAAAATATTAGCTAGACAAAATGTTCCCTCTGCCCTCTAATTCTTGATCCATCAGCTGCACAATACTCTATATTCTCCCTTCATCCGACTTCTCTTTATAGTCCAGCAAGTAATTAGAATTAAAGCAAATACTACTACTGGAAATTGGTCCATATTATTTGAGGACATTAAAATAAAATCACACTTCCAAGCTTGCATATAATGAAGAGTACCTGTACAGCATACTAAATAAATATTATATGATTGCACATGTCCTATATAATACAAAGAAATCCAACTGAATGTTACTGTGTGAAGCACTAGATTTGAACACTAAATTTATTAATTTGAACTTCTTAAATGGCTTGGGATCAAGGGAATTTAATGTGAAAACTTTAAAGTGAGGAACGTTAAACAGAGACACTGTAATAATGTAATGAATAAATTATTGTCACAAATATTTAGAGTCATCAGTTTGATTTCAATGCGAAAGCTCTGGTGACTGAAACAAGATTATTTCTAATTGAAGTATACTGATAAAATTATTGTGTAACTGAAGGGCCAAATGTAGTACTGTGCTGAGTAAGAATAGTTAAATATATTTTGTACAAAATGAACAAATTTCACAGCCAAATACTGTTTTCTCTCTTTGTGATAATTACTGCAAACAACAATTTAAGAATTACTGAGCTTCTCTTTATTATATAAGGAGAGATATGTTTTTATCTTCTTTTTCCTCTGTGGGGCAGCAATATCTGTATATAGCAGGAGACAAATAATTTTTATGTTTTCAAAAATAGATTGATATATTCCGATATTTCTTTTCATATATGTTCAGTTTCCCTCAAAACTGATTTAATGTATTTAACTGCATACTTCAAAGATATTTTTAGCTCCAGAAACTTATTTCATGATTTTGTTACTATTTTTATCCCATGGAATAGCTCAGTCAGTAATGTGGCTAGTTTTGGTTGGCTGACTAGGGTTAAATTTCTAGCAAGAACAGTAATTCTCTCTTGTCTGCCACATCCAAACTAGTTCTGCAGTTCATTCATCATTCTATCCAGTGGCTAAGAGGATCTCTTTCCTTGAGTGCAGAGCAGCCAGAGCACAAACCTAACCACTCTTTCTATCCCATGCGCAGGTTAACATTTACTGTGTGAAAGCAAATACAGGTTCCCTTTAACTGTAGTTTTAACTGACTTGATGGGACTTGACTTGATTACTCTGTAATAGACAATGTTAATATGTATTTTATTGTGATAATAAGTTGCAGTGCAAGTTACATGCATGTTGTATTTAATTATTTAATTGTAGGTGGGTTCTTTTTATTTTTGAGGTGAGTGTTATGAATGGAAAATAATGGATGTTTGTGCTAATTACTGATAAATAAAACTACACTAGTCATTTTTTAAATTTTTATTGTAAGATGCCCATAACTCTTTGGATATGATTTTGCTCTGTTATTGACAATGTTGATAAGTATTTTGTTATGATAATAAGTTGCAGTCCGAGTGTTATATGCATGCTGTGTTTCGTTATAGCATTGTATCATCAGTTATCACAACAATGGTTGTGGATGTTGTAATATCTTAATGACGCCCTCTGGATTGATTTTATTGTAACTAGGGCTTGGACGTGTTCTATATCTGGTGGCGCCATTGCCAAATGTAGATTTGATGAACAAAAATAAATTGAATTGAACTGAATTGTATTGAATACACGCTTCCATTGTATTGTAGTGTTATTAAATATTATTTAAAATCTAAAAAGAAATATAACATTCATTCACTATATTTGTCTAAAGTGATTTATTGGGCTTCAGAGGGTAACATGTACTTGTTTGTAATTGATTGCACATTTCTAAGGGGTTATTTTGTGTATTTACATAACCACTGAGGGTTTCAAAATTCTAAAAATATTTACAATTTAATCTTAGCTGCTATTTTTTTCTTTATTGTGTTACAAACTGTCAAAATGGGACACATACCTGAAGCCACTAAGAAAAATGCCTTGACTTGTTTAATTAACTCATTCATAAATTACGCACACCTTTTAGCCTCATTTTTTGATAATAATTTGTTATTTTGAAAAATATATGTCAGTACAAAGGCACTGATATCACTTATATTTGTGTGTTCAGCATTTTCAAGTCAATTTCGGAGAGTTTTGAGAAATGCAGTTTTGTGTAACAGAAATTGAAACAACGGCTAACACACTAAGACACAACCCCACAATGCAGCATTTGCACCAGGACATTATGAGACAATGCAGAATTGAGCTTTGAAATTTAAAAACTCCCTGGCTGTGAGAAATTACAAGAAACATTAAATTCTATATGCTAGAGGTTAACAATGATTGCAGCTTCATCTCTCCATCCCCCATACCGCTTTTTGTTGAGTTGTGCAGGCAAAGAGGCAAATTTATTTTCTTTTACTTATCCCTTACTTTGATTTTTTGCAGACATCCTATGGAAAGAACGAAGAATTCTTTTTATTTGCTACCATTATTGATGCCACTATGATAGACAAAAAACTTGGAGATAAACCTCTTTACTTTGAAGTCAGTATTGGTAATGCGGGAAACTCTCTGGATGGCCACAATGAAACATCAAAGGACCTTACTGAATCAGACAATGACGAAAATCTAGGTATGAAAGTATAAAATAAGATCCCTATTCAGCATTTATCTCAAAGACAGTGGATCTGAACTCCATACACAGCACAAATTAAAATGAAGAATATTCAACAGGGAAATTGTTAATTTAGAAATTGAACATAAATAGAGGAAAAACAAGTCTAACAACATTGAATAGAATTTCGACTCTATTCACTGTATATTTAAGGCTTTTACTATGACAGTCTTGCTAAAGTACATGTTACAGAACATAGGTTCATGAGTTGTGGTTTGTTGACAGATTGTGTCAGATCTAGAAGACTGTGATGTCATGAGATTGATCAGTTTTGTGAAATTTGGTACGGTTGTAAATTATAAACATGCCAACAAATACTGATGAAGCTTCTTTTGTATAGAGCTCACAAACATACTGACAGTATGGAAATTAGAGGATAGGTCTCTATCTGATAACTTCATATCAGTGAAAATTTTACACAGAATTAAAGTACAAGTATATATTACATGATTATTAGTCTGTAATTTCCACTACCATTTTTGCATAGCAAGAACTTTTTAAGGAATGCAAATAACATAATTTAATCCCAAAACTTTCTTTTGCTAGAAAATATTATGATATTTCATTAACTATGAAATTACTTGCCCTTCATTTTTAAGAAACATAATGCTATCAGAAACTTATATTCCAACAGAAACAGTAACTACAGACTCCCTGTCATGGCAAAGCACCACATCACCTGCCAAACCAATGACTAATGACCATATGTATTACTTCTTGCCATATTGGGATGACAAGCCTTGCATGCATGTGCGTTCAGTGTGGCCTGACTACAGGAGGCGCATGTACAACTCCAATATCATAGCCAGGATTCTGGACAAATTGGTAAGCAGTATACCCAGACTAAGAATCACAGTTTTAATTAGTAAATCAGAGAAGAGTTTCCTGAAATATTTCGAACTGCAGCACACATTTTCTGATAATTTTTGGCAGCACATGCACTCCAACATAACCATTATGATGCCTATCACTGTAACTAACTGTAACTGCTTAACTGACAAACTAATTATTTTTTTTTTAATTTTCACTTAGTGGGGAGTGGAGTCCAACTGGGTCCACTCATCACGACGGTCACTGATTGGCCTATTGTAGCCTGCCCTGGGTGATTATGATGATGGAGAATTTGGTGGAATGAAGATAGGCAGGGGAAACCAAAATACTCGGAGAAAACCCGCTCCAGTGCCAATTTGTCCACCACAAATCCCACTTGACCAGACCCTGGCATTGAACCCGGGCCGCCGCGGTGGGAAGCCAACGATTAACCACTTGAGCTATGGCTTGGCCGTAACTGAACAAATAACTAGCTAACTAATTTCTCTTTAAAATTAAAATCTCTCTACTTTCTTTGCTCGATAGTGATCCATCTCTGATTTTCAAAAGTTTGACTACTTTTCATTCGTATTTAGTACCAAGTAACTCGGAGGTAGCTCGAGGACTAACTGTGAATAGCCTTCGCTGCTCCTCATGTAGCCTCGAGCGGACAATACAGAAAACGGCCACGTAATAAGCACCCTTGTTGCCTGGCGCTGTGTTGCTAGCAACGCTAGCGGTAGTAACCGCTGTTACTACCGTCGTCTCTCGCAATCCTGGTTACCCGCGCTGCCTAGCAACCCGCGGTACCCTTGGTGACGTCATAACTGTTGACTCGCGTTGCATAGCGACCAGGATGCTAGGACTCAGCTAACTTCGGCTCACTTCGGCTTCGCTCGGCGCATCACGGCTGGCGGGGGGGGGCGTCATCCATAGCTCAACATGTCACAATATGTTATGTAACTGAAGGGAAAATAAAATGGTTTCTTCCATATCAGGTGGGAAAGGGAGAGTGATAGAGAAGGTGATAAGCCACAGGTCACAGTGCATTCTCATTAGCCACCTCCCTTATAAGTCTAATTGCTACTCAGGATTGTTTCAATAGGAGGAACAGCACCAGTGATTCTGTAAACACAACTGTAGAAACCCAGTGGGTATTCATTAAAAGAAATAACTGGAATACAAAATGTACATAATTAGCTCTTAGTGTTACAATTGTAAATGCTTATTTGTTTGTAATTTCTCTTTTCTTATACAGTTAGCAAACAGCAAAAAAAAAAAAATGTAAATGATAAGAATAATAATGAAAAAGTTCAAATGGTTTATACTATGTTGGAGGGAGGTGGCAGTTGATCTGTAGAAACAACCTATTGAATACTCTAGAGGTAAGAACTGCAGATTAAATTGAAAATAAAATTTGAAACTCATAAGATAAACAATACAAAAGAATGCATGTGATACTATCAGTGATTTGGTTGGTAAAGTTGAGAAGATAGCAAGAAAACCATGGGTTACACAGGATATGATGAGTAAAATGGAAGAGCAGAGGAAATGGAAGAATGTCAACAATGAAGAAGGCAGGAGGAAATACAGGAGACTGAAGAATGAATTGAAAAGAGCCACGGACAGGGCCAAAAAGAGAAGATATGTAATGAGATTATAGAATTTCAAAGAACAGGACCTATCATTTGATGTACATGAAGACAAAAGAACTAGGATGGAAAGAGAATCATGGGATTCAAAATATTGGCATCGAAACCTCCCAAGGGAATAGAATAGTATATCAGAGGCAAGTGCTGAAAATTTGGGAACATTATATTACAGAACTATATGATCGACCTAATCGGCCAGAAACCTTAGAAATTGAACCGGAAGAAGGAGTAGATACAGATGATAAAGGACCATATATTTTACAAAGTAAGGTGGAAAAAGCTATCAAGGAAATGAGGAAGGGAAAGGCTACAGGAGATGATGATGTACCTGGAGATGTGCTCAAGTTACTGGGAGAAGGTGGTTTGAAAACACTGACAAAACTAATGAACACCATATATGAAAGTGGAGAGTGGCCCAAGGACTTTACAGAAGTTACAATGATTGCCTTAAAGAAAAAGACAAAAGCTACAAAATGCAGCGACCATCGCACAATAAGCCTTATTGCACATACAGCAAAGATA